TATGCATCATTCCATGATCTCATGGACCTTGGATTGGGTCTCAACCTCTCCCAAATCTTCAGTTATCCTAGGGTTGACCCAGTCAAAACCCTAATTCTATCATTCATGGTTGAATCTTCTGAATTCTTGCATAATGACTTCTCTGGGCTTCATGAAGGCTATCAAGACATCTCATAGGCTTTCCCAAAACATCAAATTCATTCTCAAAGTCTCAGAACCATCTGAGGAGCACCCACAACTCTCAAGCTATGAAACACACAACCCTGGTTTTAACCTATTTCTTCTGAGGATCTCTTGAACTTTCTGATGAAGGTATCCACTTTCAAACACTCAATGAATAAATAATTGTTGGTCAAATTTTGGGGTGCAACAATAATAACCGGTTAAAACCTTTCTTTTTCAAAAGTTGTTTATGGCCTGAGTGTTTAAACTTATTTCCTGAATAAACGTTCGTCGCGACAGCGAGAACTTATTTAAAAGTAGTTTTGCCACGACAGTGGGAAAGTAATTAATGTACGAACCAACAAGCGACAGCTGCGGCTAGGACCAGATAGTAAATACTAGGCATTTGTTTTAATAACAGCGAAAGCACTTTAAAATAGATTAGAACTTAGAGATTTTCAAAAAGCGATTTTAACCCCGAACGGGATAGCGACAGTATACGTTCCGCCTTAAAGTTGCGACTAGCGTCAATAACCATCCTGAGACGAAGGTCTTTAGATCACTATTTTCTTCTTAAATAAATTCTGAAAATATTTTATATACCGGTAACTTTTCAAATCCCCGAAGAACATAATTATTGCATATCGATTCGCGTAATTATACTTTAAGTAACATTTTTAGTTCCCTTTAGTAATAGCAATTATTCCCTTAAACATTATCTACCTAGCTAAACATAGTAACTCCCGTGAACACTAGTTTGATTACGAGTCCTTGTGGGATCGATGTCTTTTATTACTACGCGATAGACTGTGCACTTGCAGTTAAATTGTATTAGACATAGAAAGCCGCGATCATAGACTACCAAGAAGATCAAGATGATCTAAGAAAAAATGAAAGCATCACATAGTTGCAAAAAGAGTTACCATGATAAGAAGAGAAAATAACTTGAATTCTATGAGGGAGATCATGTGTTTTTGCAATTTACTCCTGTAACCGGTGTTTGTAAGCTTTGGAGCATCGAAAGCTCATTCCGTATTTTATTGGTCCTTATCAAATTATGAATCGAGTAGGAGAAGTGGCCTACAGAGTTGTGTTATTGTCGTTTCTTTTGAATCTTCATGATATTTTCCATGTATATCAGTTGAGGAAGCATATTACTGATTTGTCTCATGTTATTCAAGTGGACAATGTGCAAGTTAGATATAACTTGACCGTTGAGGCATCTCCCTTTAGACTATAGGATGACAAAGTGAAGCACTTGAGAAGCAAGGAGATTGTGTTGGAGAAGGTAGTATGGGGAGGAGCGTTTTGTGGAAGCACGTCGTGGAAGCTGAAGAGTCAGATGGGAGAGTCATATTCGACTATGTTTCCTACAGGTAATTTTTTAGGGAAAGAGTTCTCTTAATGGAGGTAGTTGTAACACCCAGAAATTTGATTAATAATTTTTATTCAAACTATTTGTGTTCTCATTTAATTAATTAGTATGTAGTGTGCTTTTAATTAAAGATATTGAGTTGTATGTGTATGTGTATGTGGTGAGGTGGTAGAAGGATTAAAATAATTAAATAATTAGAATTAATTAGAAATAATTATTATTTTTAATTAATTAATTAAAATGAATAAGAAAAGAGGTTTTTGGGTGGAAATAGGAAATAAGGAAAAATAAGGAAAGTGGTGAGAAGAAAAGAGTTAGGCCTAAGTTTAATTAACCAAAGGTTAAATTAGGGTTAGAAATGAATAGAAAATTAGGGGAGCCTTGAGAATAAAATACGTAAAAAGTTGCAGCTTTTGGGAGAAAGAGGGAGGCTAGGGCATGAAGATGGGAGAACAAACCATTAAACTAATTCAGAATTTTGCAAGGAATCTATGGTAAGGGAGAGAAATGGCTTCTATATGAGTGTTTGATATGAAAGGGTAGATAAGAGTGACCCTTACTCTCATAAGGAAAATGTAAATTCTATTTTGATTTTTTGTTGTTATGAGATCATCTAAAAAAAACATGTTTGACTGTGTTGTTATGTAATTTTTTTATTGAATTCATGTTGTATTATTTAGTTTATGAGTATGTGATTGTCATAAGTTTTGGAAATTTGAAGCTTTGAACATGAGTATGAATTTGATGAAAGGGATGAATGAATTGTGTGTCCAATTGCTATGACCTATGACTTGATGTGTGCATCGTAAAATGTTTGATTGTGATGATATTATTATATGTTGTTCAATTCGTGTTATGGTGTATTTGAATGTTACGATGAAGGTTGGAATGATGTATGAGGGGAGAGAAAATTGGGAAAATTGGGATTTTTTAAATTTTGGGTTGATGTCAATAGATTGCATACGTAAAATTTTAGAAAAATATAAAAAATTTAACCATCACAATAAATTAATGTAATCAATTAATCGATTGCATGCAACCAAAATGTAAAAACATTAGAAAGACGGAATGCAAATAGGATTGATGTAAATCGATTTCACCCTGGTCCCAATCAATTGATGCTAGTGTAATTTTGAGAAATTGATTAACTGAAACCTAGTATGTTGTCCTATTGTTTTTGCCATAATTTTAGTTTTGTAAGTCCAAATGATGTGCGGTTTGAAGAGTTGGAGAGCTAACACATGTGGCTATCCCATAGTGATGAATTAATAGGCTATATAGGTGATGGAAATTGTGAAAAATTAATGGTTTTTTTTGGAACGCACTAGTTAACAATAACGACTCAATGATTAATCGATGCAAACAAATGAATTAATGATGAATCGATGTTAATATGATTTAACATGATTGAGTGTTGTGTGAATATGTAATTGATGTAGTCCTGCTGTTTAGTGATGTTATATGGTGTGGATAATATTTGTATTGTTATGAAATGCATGAGTACATGGTGATTAGTTATGTATTGTTGATGTGCATTATTGTTGTTATTGGTGGATAGTAAATCAGAATGGGGGATTACTATTGTGTGTGAATGCATGTGTTTATGGTCATAAGGAGGCTGTAAGCATTATTTTTGTTGTTGTTGTATTGATTTGTATGGACATGCATCATTGTGTTGTATCATTGAAAGAGGTGCGTGCGTTAGTTCAGAAGGCGGAACTAGTAGCTTGTCCCAAGCTCAGAAGGGGGGTTTCAATTTTTGAGAGAATCAAATGTTGAGTTGGTACCATATGCATAGTGTCATGATGTGTCGTGAATCACATTACATATATTTGCATACTGTTGTGATTAGGTGTGAGACTATGGTGATTTTGGTTGTGCATTGAATGTATGACATGTTGTATGTTTCTCTACCTTTGCATTCTTTACATCGTTTATATATAAGTTTATATTTCACGCATTCGCTTAATGTTGTTCACCATGGATATCTTATAGATACTCAGGAATAAAGATGTTGTTGTATGTGGTTGGTGACTTGTTGGAGCTATTCTTCATTTTATTTATCGCTTTATCGAAATTTAGTAGGTTTACTGCTCTCATCTTATAACATCGAGGACGGGGAGCTTGTTATGCTTTGAGTTAATGTTGGTTTTGGTGTTTTGAAGTTTAATACTTTATTCTTAAAGTTTAAAATGAAGTGTTATGAAATCATTTTTCCACTATGTATCATCACATATTTTTGATGAGTTTTAATTGGTGGTCGTTGGTGACACCTTAAATAGTCGAATAAATCTTTTTATATAAGTTTAGAGGTTTATGGTGTTACAATAGACATTTTGGGTCCATCGCTTCTAATTCATCCATCATGTTTGTTTCTTGTTGGCGCTGCTAGATATTAAGAATGTTATCTTCCATGGTTTGGTTATGGCAATGACGGTCGTCCATAGCAGCGCACGTCTCTGCTTTGTCCTTTTCCTTGTTGTAGGACTTTTTGTTGGTTGGAGTAGTTGTCTTCTTGTTCACCGTGATGTGGGATGAGTGCAAAAGACAATACTCTAGTTGGATGTAGTGGGGGGGCGCATGTCAATTTTACCAGAGCCTCACAATGGGTGTCATTTATACTCACTAAAAGTACAAATGCTTGACGATTCCTAGTAGATAACAATTATTAGAGGCTTTAAGGTTGTTAGGATATTGAGAGTTAGCTCAGGTGAGGTGAGGTGAGAAACTATTGTATATGTGTATTTCTCTATGTTATTGGTTATTCTCTCAATATGATGATATTGATGTATTTATACCCCAGTGGTTCGAACCGAGTCTCCCTATGATTTAGCAAACACATTCAGTATGCGTGGTTAACTCCCTAAAATCCAGGCGATATGGTTAAGTCTCATGACTTCTCATATAACGTTAGTTGACTCATCATACTCTCTATGAACGATTATACGTTACAGACGAAGAAAATTGGTTGTTCAGTCGACATATTCTGACTAGTGTAAAGGCGGCGAATCGGGAAGGATAAAGGACCAATCGTGTTCCGCTTGCCTCGCTCCCCAACGTTTTTTTAAATTATACCACATTATTATTATTATTATTATTATTATTATTATTATTATTATTATTATTATTATTATTATTATTATTATTATTATTATTATTATTATTATTATTCCCATTTAAATCATAAAAAGTAAAAAACAAATTAAATTTAAAAAATAATATTAAATAATTGTGTTGTGTTTAAATTGTGTTTATATTTTATTTAAAGTTTATAAAATATAAAATATTTTAAATAACATAATATTATTATAATTATGAAAGCCTTATATAAAACTTTACCCTACACCACCAAATAGGTTGGGCCAGACTTGCTTCTTTCTATAAAATATCTATGTATTTATCCTTTTCTTTATTCATTCAAATTTCCAAGTCCAAAATTTCCATCCTTTTTCCTGAAATCAAAATGAAACACCAAAAACTCCTTCAAAATCTACTAATACTAGTAACTATCCTAATCCTTTCAACCACATGGACCATAGCAGATGAAGTTGGTAAGCAAAATCAAATGTTTATTCTCTCATAATTAAGTATTTCATATTATGTTGTAGGATTTGAATACATTAATCTATGTATTTGTTGCGTAGACGATGAGAGTGAGTTTGATTACATAAAAGGGAGCAAAAAGGGTCCTTTACATTGGGGAGAAAAGAAGGAATGGGCAACATGTAAAAATGGGATAATGCAATCTCCAATTGATATGTCAAGTAACATAGTGAAAGTTGTGCCAAAGTTGGGAGAACTAAAGAAGAATTATAAGCCTCAAAATGCTATTATTAGAAACAGAGGTCATGATATTCAGGTAATTAATCAACCTAGAAATTCATTCATCTTAATATATAAGTTGTACTAGATAAAAATTATTAGGTTTAATGAATTAATATTAATGAGCAAATTACTTCTTTAAAGGTTAAATACTTTTTTTTTCAATAAATATATTTATTTTTAGTTTTAGTTTTTTTGTAAAAAAAAATTCCTTAGACAAAGATTCACCAAATATAGTTTTAATTTCAAATGTACTTAAATAAGATTGACAATATATATCTTTTTCAGTTTATTCAAAAGTTTTGAATTTGAATTTGCACTAGAAAAGAAATAGTGTAAAATTCCTTAGAAAATAGTTGTGTCACCCCTTATGATTTTTTCGGCTTGAAAGAATAATCTCTATTAGCAATAGCCACAACTTTAGTTATATTGTTAAATTAAGTTAAATGAAAATTACAATCACATATATATTAAAATGACACTAATATTTTTTTCATTTTAAAATATTTATTAATTTTGTTCTTTAATATATTAACCGAATGTTTTAGTGATAACTAAAATATCATAAATATAAATAGTATTTATCTACTGTCACTGTCACTAAAAATTTATGTTGTTATATGCTTTTCTTAAGAGAGATTAATATGTGTATATTTTAAAAATAGAGAATGTATAGCTCTAGGTTTAACAAATTTTAGAGTGTAATTTTTTCTTATGTCAAACATAAATTGCTAGATGGACTAACAATTCCTTTTAGAAATTAAAACTAAACTAACACTTACTTTTAATTATTTATAAATTATTAGATTTACTGGAACAGTATTATTTTGCAAACAACTTTTCATAATTTTATTAAAATTATGTTGAATACTAAAACCAGATATTTGTCAGAAAAGTCATATAACAACCGAGTATATTTTTTTAACAAGATAAATGATTGACTCTTAAGTCGTCATCATAGTATAAATGAGGTTGTCGATAAATTAATACTTCACCGATTTTCTGGTTGGTAGCTTAAATTTATATTCTGTTTATAAATGATGGCAGCTGAAATGGGTAGGAGATGCAGGGTCAATAAATATCAATGGGACAGAATTTTTTCTACATCAACTCCACTGGCATTCACCTTCTGAACACACCATTAATGGCCAAAGGTTGGTCTTGCTTCGCTTTCTTAATTAATACTTTTGTTAATTTATGGTGTCAACTTGTCACTCTCAAGTTATTAAATCTAACCAATTATATATATATATATATATATATATATATATATATATATATATATATATATATATATATATATATATATATATATATATATATATATATATATATATATATATATATATATATATATATATATATATATATATATATATATATATATATATATATATATATATATATATATATATATATATATATATATATATATATATATATATATATATATATATATATATATATATATATATATATATATATATATATATATATATATATATATATATATATATAATTTTAGTTGGTCAAAGTTAATTTTTTTGGACTGAAATATTAGGTATGATATGGAGCTACACATGGTTCATGAAACCCTAAGAATAAATGGGAAAAGCAAAATAGCTGTCGTTGGACTTCTCTATAAAATTGGTGGACCCGATTCCTTTCTTACTAAGGTATATTTAATTTATACAAGAAAAAAAAGACTAGATAAGTTGAGATTAGAGAATCATTAGAATAAGTGCAGACTTGAAGATTTAGAGAATGCAATTTATGTGAGTACAATAGTAGTGACATTGTTTGCAATATCTCAAGTAAGAAGTTTTTAATCATTGATTGGTAAAGAATGTGACCTCTTTGACCTAATCCTAGAGAAAAGTATATATAGTATTTTAGACATAGTGAAACGAGCAATGCCATCAGGCTTTTTCTTTGATTTAATGAGCTTGATTTAGCTCTATTAAGGATCGTGATTAGCGACCTCCTTTCGAGGAAGTCTTGTGACATGTTCACCTCGTACGCATGTTGAGTACATGATCACCACATTAGCTCTGATTTATGACCTCTTATATGTGCCATGTGACTTTAGTATACGAGACCGAGATTGTTGTAATAATAGGGCCTAAGGTTGCAATGTTCATGATAGTTCACACCTCCTTAAGCATGAGACATGTAAGGGAGAAGTGGTTTGACGAGGTGATATTACCCAGTGTCGATATCACTCACGTTAGTTATTATTACTAGATTAAATCAACCATGGTCGTGGGATTGGAAACAATGTAGTTTTCCCACTAATGGCTTCCTTTGAAGGTTATTGGTATTCTCCATCAAACAATTATGATAAAACCATTTGTCTTGATGAAAGAACTTGATATGAAATTATCGCCTCCTTAAAGCACTTTGTTTTTACAAAATCCTCATTTTTCGAGGTTCATGGAACATATTATTTTCTCTCAAAATGCTTCATTCTTATAAGCCTCGTGCTTGGGGGATTTGGACTGGAATGAACATTGTTGCTCAATGACCACATATTATTGTACTCATAGCAAGTACAATTGATGCCCATGAGTTTCATCAAATTATGGTGATCAGGAAGTCCTAACAGAGATACATCTCGCTATGCATGAACTACGTCGCTGAACCAAACCTTGCAACCAATCGTCTAGATAATCCAACAACAACAATAATAAGGCAAATAACATTATAACGAGATATAGGTTAAACACCTTTAACATCTATCTGTTGAAATCTTGGACGCTTGAGTGCAATAAAACTTTAGACCCCTCCTATAGCGACATTTCATTCGAAGAGTGACCCTTAAGAAAACCTCACCACCTTCAACACATGAATCACAATCATAGGCATGTCAGATTCACTCAAAATCAAAATTCTCTCCAGAGCCTTGAAGATGGTAGTCTTACGTTGGTATATGAATTATTCCCAAAATCTTACGTTGGTATATGAATCCTCTCTAGAGCCTTGAAGATGGTAGTTTTACGTTGCATGAATATTTGGAACGTTTTTAACGAAGCCACTATCAGAATATAAAATCCTAACCAAGAGATGTTTTTTGGTGCCTTCTCGAACAACTTACAAGTCTGACACTTTAATGAGTCTCTCGCTTAGAAACTTGTGATTCCTCATAGACCCTGGTAGATTTGGTGATATTCTCTACAAGTATTCCTTTGAACTTCTAGAGTTAGATCATAAACATTTACAACCAACTAAAGGCTCCTTAGTAGGTTTTTCAAGCGAACAAGTGCAAGTACGATGATACATCTTCATCAAGTGCAACCAACTAAAAAATGTCAGAGCTACCTACCAAATGTTAATGAACCCATTATTCGTGGAGCAAGTTGGAAAAAAGCTTTGAAGTATACATAAATGATATAATGGCGACAATTCCTGAAAACAAGAACCGTTATAATGAGCAAGAAAACATCCTACGGTCTACTAGGAGAACCATTATAAACGCATCAACAATTTATACAAGTTCAATCCAACCATTTGCCCTACTCATATCCCCAATAATTTCTTCTTTAGAGTTTCGACTATTTGTGATGTGTTTTTCATAAGATATGTTTACAAACCCTTTTACAACCAAACAAGAAATGTTACACTAGCTAACCCTTAAAACAAACATGACACTTTACACCAGGATAATCTCATAAACAGACATAGATTTTATACCCAAACCGAGATCAAGAACCAAATAGAGATTTTTCATGACTAATATCAAGATAAGCAACGAGATTTTCATAGGATGAGTTCAAAACTAAACAGAGATTTTACTTGGCCAATCTTACGAACCAAACTAGATATTATAACTTGTTTATCTCACAAACCAAACAACAAATTATTTAGAATTAATCACATATGATACCAACCCTCTTGAGTAAAATTACAAAGTACCCTTAACACCATAACAAAAACTCTCATAGATAATTTTCACTTTCAAAGCACTAAGGCAATTATAGTGAAGAAATATAAAGATGGGGAAGGGGGTATAAAAGGAGAAAGTAAGATTATAATACATTTTCTGGTGTGTAATGAAATACAGATAAGTCATCTATTTATAGGATAAAATATGCCTCAAAAAGAAAAATGATCCATGGGCTTTTTTATGTGCTTAATCGATTAACCTTGAGTATTAATCAATTAGACAAGCCCAAAAAGGAAGGTTTTTGAATTACATTGTCACTAATCGATTAAAGAAAACTCTAATCAATTGGGAGGCATTACAAAAGTGTTAAATAATTAAACGTAATGTGTTAATCTGTTAAACCATGTTAGAGGCACTCCTAACTGAACATGAATGTGCTTACACACATAAAACAATTTTAGGTGATTTATAAAATAAGATATGCTTCAAAAAAATGAGTATGTCGTGAGAGTCTTATTAGTATTTTAAGAGTTACTCTTTTAATTTTACAATACATTTATCAATTAGATTGCATTATTTGCAAGACTACGAAAGTTGTGACATTTCCTCTATTTTACAACTCTGAAGATTCAAGTTCATTGCTAGATTCACCTTTGGTTGTAGCACTTCACTAGAACTTTGAATCTTCAGATTGAAAAGGATTAATGAGACTTGTGATAACTTCAAGATTTAATGCCATATATTTCTAGATATATGTCATCAAAGACTTCTTCGAACTCCATTTTACTTAAGAGGTTGTCATAGTTGAGATAACTTGTCCTTGATCTCACAAAGGATATCTTTGAACATCTTGATTGTTTGATTCCTCTTGATGAATAAAGACTTCATTGAATTTGTTTGACATAAACTGTTATCATCATCAAAACCATTATGATCAAATAGATTTGCAGAGAGTTTGCTTGTAAGCCCATAGATCCATAGTTGTTTCTCATAGAAGTGTGTGAAAGCGTACACGAAAGAAACATAGGAGAAAAAGTGTTAACTAAAAATCTATTGAGGGTCCAAAATTATTTTCCAACTTTGCTAAGGGATATGTCATATTTTTATTAAGAAATGTGAAAAATGATAGCAATTTTCATATCTATGTCACACCCTAGACGAGATCCTCCCTTCAAGGACCTTGCCTTGGCCATCCACATGTGGGGATTTGAAATTTTGGGACCATTTCCTTTTTCTGTAGGATAATTGGATGTTTTACTCATAGAGATGAAGTTTTTCACCAAATATAGCGAGGTTGACAATATATCAAAGGTTGCTGCAAAACTAGTCAGGCATTTCTATTGGAAGTGAATCATTTGGAGGTTTGGACAACTAAAATGCATTGTCTCATATAATGGAACTCAATTCACCATTATAACATTGAGGAATATTTTCCAAAATATGGGGATCACGAAAAAATTTGTTTAGGCCAAACAACCTAAAGCTAATCGTCAAGATGAATTCTCAAATAAATTCTTCTTGTATGGAATAAAGAAGAATTTTGAAGACTAAAAAGGATTGTTGCTATAAAAAAACTATACGAGTTGTCTCTATAGAGATGAAATAAGGAGATCTCATACTCATAAAGTACCGTTGAAAAAATATTCAGAAAGGACCATAAGGTCTTCCTCTTGTCCTTTTTTTTTGTTGGTTAAGTCTTCGTCATACTAGAGCCTAAAATGAGGACGATACTGGTAGGCTTGGATGATCTACGTTTTTCCTTGAAATTATCCTTTCTCTTCAGCCTCCTTATCTTTACCCCAACAACGTTGCTATTCTTTCCCACCTCGCCCTCCTAAGTTTTCCTGGCTTTGGATTTCTCTAGGTAGATCTTCTTTTATGCTGCTGTCAAAGGCATCATTTTTATGCACAAGAAAAAACACAATGTTAGTCCAAGAAGTCAATAACAAAAGGCTAAATTAAAGTCATAAAATAAACTCAAATATATAAGCCTTGAAACTACATGATCATCCTTCATTTTTATTAGACCCCTAACACTTATTATTTTTATTTTTCTCACAAGTCGGTCCCATCCTTATCAGGCTCACGGAGTTTGTCATAGTCAAACCCGATGATGAACATATGGTCGCTCGTTCAATATAATTGCTACACACTTGGAGAAACCCTTTTTTTAATTCTTGTAGTATAATCAGTATAGGGGAAATAATCCTCTTTTTGGAAGGGCATTAATGGAGATCCAACATCACTTTTGAACCCTTTTTGCCCCATTAAAGGAGAAGAGCACACCTACACTAGGAGTGATGAACAAACCATTATATACAAATTTTGAACCCTTTCACAAAGCCTAAACTCTTGGGGCCGAAATCATGAAGGTGATGTTGATAGTCCTTAAGATGTATGATTCAAAAGAGGTGAAGGGAATATTCATCACCAAGTCATGAAGAATGCACAAGTGCATGAGGAAGGACTCACCTATTACTCCTAAAGTCTATATCTTAAAAAAAAATTATTGTTGTCCAATTAAGGTTCCAAACTATTATCTTCCTTATAGTCATTAGAAGATATGGTGATCATATCAACAACATTGTCATCAGTCGAAACCTTCAGCACCTGAACTTCACCATGCTCGATTATCTCTCTGACGAAGTGCAGCCTCACATCGATGTACTTTGTTCACTCATGATAGGTTGAGTTCTTCGACTGGTGTATTTCACTTTGACTATCAAATTTAATAGTGATACTTTGACCTTGAAGTTTCAGTTCTTTTGTAAAACCTTCAAGCCACAATGTTTCTTTCACAACTTCAGCAAGGGAAATATATTCTACTTCAGTGGTTAATGAGGAAATAACCTTTTGAAGCGTTACTTTCCAACTAATTGTTGTGTCGAACATAGTGAACACATATCCAGAAATAGACTTTTTGGAATGCATACAACCTGCATAATCAGATTCGACAAACCCTTCAATTTCGACTTTGCTATCATCACCACAGGCTACACCATAAATCAAGACTCTTATCAGAGACCCATTTATGTACCTTATAATCCATTCTACATCTTGCAAGTGCGCCTTTTCAGGATTGACCATATACCTGCTTACAAGGCTCACACCATACGCTGTCTGGCCTCGTACAGACCATAACATACATCAAATAACCTACTACGCTAGCATATGGAATGCTACTCATATAAATTCTTTTAGCTTTAGTACTCGGACTTTGAGTAGTACTAAGTTTAAACTGAGGATTCGTTGGAGTCACAACAAGCTTTGAATTCGACATACCAAACTTGTCAAGAAGCTTCTGTAGGTATGTCTATTGAGATAAGCACAACTTAGACTGCTTTCTATCTCTTCGAATGTTAATCCCAAAATTTCTGGTGGAAGCTCCCAGATCTTTCATTTCAATCTCCTTGCTGAGTTCAACCTTCACCTCCATTACATCCTCGACACTGTTTCTACCTATGAGGATATCATCCATATAAAGCAACAAAATAACAAGTGAATTTCTAGGTTGAAATCTGAAGTAAACACAGTGGTCGAACTGGCTCCTTGTGAAACTAATGTGTTCCATGAACTTGTCGAATCTCCTGTTCCATTATCGAGGAGATTGTTCCAGGCCATACAAAGGTCTATTAAACTTGCACACATAATCTTCCTTATTGTTTTCTGCATACCTTTCAGGTTGAAGCATCAGGATCATTTCATCTAGGTCACCATACAGAAATGTTGTCTTTACATCCATTTCTTCAAGTTCCAAGTCGAACTTCGCCACCATGGCCAACAACATTCTAATGGATATATACTTTACAATATGTGAGAACACATCATTGAAGTCAACACCTTTTTTTGAGTGAACCCCCTAGCAACCATCCTTTCCTTAAAGCACTTCGGCATCACTCCTTCAATTCCTTCCTTGACCTTGAAAATCCATTTACAACTGACTAACCTTGCTCCTGCAGGTTTCTCAATCAGCTCCCAAGTGTTATTATCATGAAGAGATTTCATCTTGTCATCCATGTCTTTTCGCCATTAAGTATGATTTCGACTCCTCATAGCTTCCTTGTAATCTCTAGGTTCTTCCTCAAGTACCTCACTTGTAGAGATTAAGGAAAAAGCTACAAGATCTGCATAATCAAGTCTCTGAGGTGGCTTGATGACTCTTCTCGACCTATCTCTTGTTAGTAGGTAGTAATCTACAGTTTCCTTAGTCTTTTCAGCATCTTGATCTTCTTCTTCGACTTTATCTGAATTATGCACTTCAGCATCACTATGCTCCACCTAAACAGGAATATCTACCTCTTCCAGCTCTTCTTCAGAGTTTTCTGCACTTCGACCAGCATCACCAGTTTTCTTGAACACCATCTCGACTTCATTAAAAACTACATCATGACTTGTGATACATCTTCTGTGACTTGGTTCTAGGCATCACAACCTATAACCTTTGACTCCTTGAGGATATCTAAGGAACATGCATCTCAGATATCTAGGCTCGACCTTGGTTGCATAATGTGAGCATAGGTTAAACAACCAAATAGTCTCAGTTTGTCGAGATCATGTGGTTGACCCGAGCAAACCTCTTCAAGTGTCTTCATTCCCAAAGTAGTCGAGGTATATCTATTTATCAGATAAACTGCTATCAGAACAACCTCCTCCCAAAATACCTTCTTCAATCCATCACTAACCAACACGCATCTAACCCTTTCAAGGATTGTTCGATTGAATCTCTCAGCTAAGTCATTTTGTTGAGTACCTTTTATGCCTTGCAATGCCAGACTCGACATAGTAATTATTGAAAGCTTCATTGCAGAACTCAAGGCCATTGTCAGTTCTCAACCTCTTAACCTTTTTTCTAGTTTGAGTTTCGACCAAAACCTTCCATCCTTAGTCTTCTGAATGAATACCCATAATTTTTTGGAATAGTCATCAACTATGGATAAAAAATACCTTACACCTGAATATGAAGGATTCCTTGAAGGCCCCCAAAGATCAGCATGGATTACCTTTGTTAAACTTTGCCCTACAGGAATTTTCAAATGCAAAAGGTTCACAAAACTCCAACTTCTCGACTTTTTCACCGCCTAGCAGGTTCTACTTCCCCAGTTCGACTGGGCCTCTTTCGCTGACATGGCCTAATATCATGTGCCATAACTATGTCTTGGACATCGGTTTCGTGGGTGCAAAATTTATTGAACCACTTACAACCTCAGTCTCAAGGGTATACAAGTCTTGTTTCATCACGCCTCTCAAGACTTCCTTCGACCCCTTCATGTCTTTCAGGATACCTTGATCTCCTTTAAAGATATATCCTATCTCTTTGAATCACCAAGAGAAATTAAATTCCTCTTAAGGTTAGGTACATACCTAACCCCAGTCAATAGCCTTATTGACTCATCATGGAGCTTGAATTTTACAAATCCAATACTTACAATCTTGCAAGCTTTATTGTTTCCCAGCAGCACTGATCCACCATCTCGATCACATAATTCTTAAAACACATCCTTGTTTGAAGTCATATGTCAAACACATCCAAAATCCATAATCCACTCTTTGCAAGTGTTGTTGCTCGGAACCACAAGGACATCAGATGATTCATAATTATCTTGCACAATAGTTGCATTGCCATTGTCCTTACCTCCATGATTATTCAGGCGCTCATGGCACATCTTTCTTGTGTGACCTTCCTTCTTATAGTAATAACACTTAATCCCTGAAATATCACCACCATAAGACTTATGCTGAGTTTTACCTATCTTTTTCTCAAACCTACCATCTCTCTTCGAGGTTTCCCCTTACGGACAACCCTTCACCAACTGATGATGATGGATTCTGCTCATTTCTTTCATTTAAATCCTTCGAATATAAGGTTACTTGAACTTCTTCGAAGGTCAAGGACTCTCTTCCATACAAGAGGGTTTCTTTGAAATGAGCATGTGACTTAGGTAAAGAACACAACAATAACAACACTTGATCTTCATCTTTGGTGGTAACATCAATATTTTCAAGATCAAGAATCAGCTTGCTGAATGTATCCAGCTGCTCTGTCAACGCTTTATCTTCATTCATCTTGAAAGAATATAAAGCTTGCTTCAAGTATAAATGATTCACCAAGAATTTTGTCATATACAATCCTTTGAGATTCATTGAAACACCAGCTATTGTTGTCTCCTTTGAAACCTTCCTGAGAACCTTATCACCAAAGCTCGGAACAATTGCACTGTGGGCTTTCTCGATCATCTTTGTCTTTTCCTTCTCCGTCAATGTAGCATCCATGGCCTCTTCTCCCTTTAACACTTCTAGCAAACCCTGTTGAACAAGAAGGGCTCGCATCTTCAAACTCCATAAACCGAAGTCATTAACTCCTGTGAAATTCTCAACTTTAAACTTTGTTGATTACATCTTCTCTATGTTTACCGCACTAGTTTGTTGTGATCACAAACGATACCTTTCAACAAATAAAGATTGAGAAACAGATTTCTTGGGTGAACAATGAGAACAATTAGAACAAAGGGAGAAAGAAGAAAGGATAAAGAAATAAAGAGGAAGAAGGACTAGGGCAAATTGCTATACTATTCACTTTCTCAATATTACAAAAGACTACAAGTGAATAACACAATTGGCCTCACTCAACAACCTAAGTGATATATCCTATTTATAGACTAACTAGCTAACTTACATTACAAGCTAACTAAATAATTGGATCCTTAACACAAAGCCTAATTCAACATAATAAGTCAACAATATATATTTCAACATTACATACTAGAACTAGCTTCAACTATAATATCCAACCCTTCGACATCACCATGTGACCCATCTTTGACTTCATTGTTGTCTTCTGTCAAAACCCCATTAAAGCTATTCCTTGACAAGAGTTAGAATTCGACCTAAAATCTTACAAATCTGAAGTATTTGAGAAAGAATGCCAACAGGTTACACAGGGAACCATTGATGGGAAACCTAAATTAATTCCTATCCCATATCAATGGTTTATTCAATCCCAAAATAGTAATTGATGTGATTAGTATTAACATACCTCCTTAAACCACTTCTTCCTCCCAAGTCTTGTATTTGAGGACTATGGAGCATCCTATTTTTTTCTCAAACAACCTCTCCCTTTCAAACCTCGAGCTTAAGGGTTGTGGGCGAACATGAATATTTCATCATAAAGCCCACATATTATAACAAACTCGGCCTAGTATGTCAAAATCATGTGAGACACGTAAAAAGTCTTAACATAGATTCAATGAGTTGATCATATGCTCGACACATGGGAAAGGTGAACACGTCACGAGACTTCTTCGAAAAGATTTCACTACCATAATCCCTAATGGAGAAAGCAGAGTCATGTTGTATGAACTTTAGAAGAAAGCCTTAAAAACATTGCACGTTTCACTATATCTAAGAAGTTGTATATACATACCTCAAAGATTAGGTCACACAAATCACATTCTTTACTAATAAGTAACAAACCGCTTGTTTGATATATCACAAGCATCAACATCATTATTATACTCACATCAAATTCAGAACAATAATAAAAGTATTTATAAATCATCTTTTGGACCAATATATGTTTGTTATATTACTTTTTGATTGATGATCTAAACGCAGAATTTTTTTTTAAAGATTCACGGATGATTAATTAGAACATTCATTCACCTACTTATTAATTAATTAAGATATTAATACACCATTTTCTAACTATGAGATTTCATTTTAATTATTAAAATAATTATTTTATTTATTTATTTATTTGAATAATTATATACTTGCAACGGTTTCAGTTGTCAAAATATATCGAAACCATCGAGGATTCTAAAGCAGGAAGAGGCGTTGGGGTGATTGATCCCTCAGAAGTCAAGTTGGGATGCGAGAAGTATTATAGATACATGGGTTCCCTCACTATTCCTCCTTGTGATGAAGGTGTCATTTGGACTATTAATAAAGAGGTATTACTATTTATTATAATCTAAGTTTTATATATAATTGTTTAAATAATTATTTAATAAGAAATATTTAAATTATTCATCATATCATAAGTAGTCAAAGCTTCTTATGAGATGCTGGATCGAACTCTAGTATAATCGAAGGGTAGTTTCTAGTTCGACAGGTATTAAGCATGAGGTCGAAGTCTGTTCGTATGCTGTTGTCGAAGTAATGCGTGTTGTAGTTGAAGTTTGTTCTAACATATATTAGTCAATATTGATAGGGTTGTTAGTATGTTGAATTGGGTCTTGCTTGTAAGCCCAATTATTTAAGTTAGTTTGTACCATAAGGTAGCTTGTAATGGATAATTGCTAAAAAGCCCATTAGGTTAGTGTGCTATTTTTCTTATAAATAGGATGTTAGTTTCTCAATCTTTGAATGAGGAAAAATAGAAAGATAAAATCCTAATTTCAAGAGAGAGAGAGAGAGGTTATTTTGTTATTCTCATATACTTGTAATCTTGTTCTACGAGAAAGGAAAGAATAACAGTCTATAACCAATCCTTGTTGTTCCTTGTTGTTTTACCTTATTATCTTTGTTAACCCTAACCCTTGTGTGTTTCTTGATCATAAAGAAACCAATTATACTTTGTTTCAAGACATCTGATTCACAAAAATTGGTGCAGTGAGCATGGAGAAGACGCCTTCAACAAAGTATGAGATTGAAAAATTCACCGGAGTGAACGACTTCGATCTGTGGCGCTTGAAGATGAAAGCCCTACTGGTTCAGCATGGTTGTTTGGAAGTGTTGAAGGGAGAGGCAGCCATGGACGTTGCGTTAACAGAAAAAGAAAAGACGGACATGATTGAGAAAGTGCACAATGTAATATTGTTGATCCTTGGTGATAAGGTTCTTCGACAGGTGTCGAAAGAGACTACAACATCGGGATTATGGATGAAACTTGATAGTTTGTACATGGCCCAATCTCCGGTGAATCGACTCTACCTAAAGCAAGCTTTGTATTCATTCAAGATGAGTGAAGACAAAGTGTTGGCTGAGTAGTTGGATATGTTCAACAAGCTGATTCTTGATCTTGAAAATATTGATGTGAAGATCGATGATGAAGATCAAGCATTGTTATTGTTGTGTGCTTTGTCTAGAACACATATTCACTTCAAAGAAACTCTCTTGTATGGAAGGGAGTCCCTGACCTTTGAAGAAGTTCAATTAGCCTTGTATTCTAAGGACTTGGATGAACAAAAGGAGCATAAACCTTCGACGGTGGGCGAAGGTTTGGCCGTTAAGGGAAAATTCTTGCGAAAGGATGGTAAGTTCGATAAGAAGAAAGGTAAAAGTCAACAGAAATCTTATAGTGGCGAAACATCTGGCATTCAATGTTATCACTGTAAGAAGGAGAGTCACATAAGAAAGGTGTGCCTTGAATGCTTGAAATATCATGGAGGTAATGGCAACGTAGCCATTGTGGTTTCAAATGGCGACTCGATAAAAGAGTAGATTATAGATTCAAGTTACACTTGGCACATAACTCCAAACAGAGAATTGTTCGAGGAGTTATGTGATCAAGATGGTGGATCTGTGCTACTGGGAAACAACAAATCTTGCAAAATTGCAGGTATTGGATCTGTGAGATTCAAGCTTCATGATGACTCAATAAGGTTATTGACTAAAGTCAGGTACATACCTGACTTGAAGAGAAATTTGATTTCTCTTGGTGAATTCGACAGAAAATAATATATTTTTCAAGGAGAGAAAAGTATCCTAAGAGTCATGAAGGGGTCGAAGGAAGTCTTGAGAGGCGTGAAGAAACAAGACTTGTTTACCCTTGAGGCTGAGGTTGTAAGTGGTTTGACAAATGTTGCATCCACGAAATCTGTGTCGAAGACAGAATTGTGGCAGATGAGATTGGGCCATGGTAGCGAAAGAGGCCTGGTCGAGTTAGGGAAGCAGAACCTGCTAGGAGGTGACAAAGTCGAAAAGTTGGAGTTTTGTGAATATTGTATATTTGGTAAATCTTGTAGGGCGAAGTTTAACAAAGGCAAGCAAATAACACATGGATCCCTGGATTACATGATGATCTTTGGGGGCCTGCAAGGAATCCTTCACACTCAGGTGCAAGGTATTTTCTATCCATCGTTGATGACTATTCCAGAAAGCTATGGGTATTCATTCAGAATAGGAAAGATGAAACTTTTGAGAATTTCAAAAGTTGGAAGATTCTGGTCGAAACTCAAACTGGCAGAAAGGTTAAGAGGTTGAAAACCGACAATGGCCTTGAATTTTGCAACGAAGCGTTCGACAGTTACTGTGTTGAGTCTGTGATTGCAAGGCATAAGACTGTAGCAGGTAATCCTCAACAAAATGGCTTAGCTGAGAGATTCAATTGAAAAATCCTTGAAAGGGTTAGATGCATGTTAGTTAGTGCTGGACTGAAGAATGTGTTTTGAGCGGAAGCTGTTTCAACAACAGCTTACCTGATAAATAGATGTCCCTCGAATGCCTTGGGAATGAAGACACCTGAAGAAGTTTGGTCGGAACATCCACCTAGTCTCGACAAACTGAGATTATTTGGCTGTGTGGCTTATGCTCATATTAGGCAAGATAAGGATGAACCTAGAGCTCTGAAATGCATATTCATGGAATACTCTGAAGGAGTAAAAGCTTATAGGCTATAGTGCCTAGAGCCAGGTCACGGGAGGTGTGTCACTAGTCGAGATGTAGTTTTCAAATTAAGCAGAGGTGGCTTTCAAGAATACTGATGATGTTGACGAAGTGCTGGAACAGGGAAAGATTCCTGTTGAGGTAGAGCATGTTGATGCTGAATTGCGTACCCCAGATGAAGTAGAAGAAGATGCAGAAGATGTTGTCGAAGATGATGAGACTGATAATGAGTACCTGATAGCAAGAGACAGGTTGAAGAGAGTCATCAAGCCACCTCAAAGACTTGGGTATGCAAATCTTATAGCTTATGCCTTAATCTTTGAAAGTGAGGTTCTAGATGAAGAACCTAGAGACTATAAGGAAGTTATGAGGAGTCGAAAGAAGACTGAATGGATGAAGGTCATGGATGATGAGATGAAATATCTTCATGATACAAACACCTGGGAACTGATCAAGAAACCTGCTGGAGCCAGGTTAGTCAGTTGTAAATGGATTTTCAAAGTTAAGGAAAGAATTGAAGGAGTGGCGTCGAAGAGATACCAGACAAGATTGGTTGTTAGGGGGTTCACTTAGAAAGAAGGTATTGACTTCAATGATGTGTTCTCTCCTGTTGTGAAGCACAAATTCATTCGAATGTTGCTTGCCATAGCGATACAGTTTGACCTTGAACTTGAACAAATGGATGTGAAGACTGTGTTCTTGTATGGTGACTTAGATGAAACAATCCTTATGAGGCAACTTGAAGGGTATGTGGAGAAAGGGAAGGAAGATTATGTGTGCAAGCTGAATAGATCCTTATATGGACTGAAAAAATCTCCTCGATAGTGGAATAGGAGATTCGATAAGTTCATGGCACACATAAGTTTCATCAGACGTCAGTTTGACCACTGTGTTTACTTCAAATTTCGACCGGGTAATTCATTTTTTATTTTGTTGCTCTATGTGGATGATATTCTAATAGCAAGCAACAATGTCGAAGATGTAATGAGGGTGAAGGATGAACTCAATAAGGAGTTCGACATGAAGGATCTGGGAGTTGCGTCTAGGATTCTTAGGAATGAGACAATTTAGTGGAATTATCATATTTTGCATGTCATACCTTTTTATTTTTCTTCTTTTGATGAGCGGAGAGACAAAGGTTGACGGATTCGTCTTCGTCACTAGAGCTATCATCCTCGGATGACTTGCTATCGCTTTTCCATGCGATGTAAGCTCTCCTTGGCTTAGCTTGCTTCTTGTGTGACCGACTTGTTTCCTTTCCTTTGTCCCTTTTCATTAAGGGACAATCCGGGTTGTAGTGTCCGGCTTTTCCGCAGTTATAGCACAACCCTATTGCTTTACTCCCTTTATTGTTGTCATTCTTGGAATATCTTGATTGTTTTTGAAAGTTGACTAGATTCTTCTTAGATTGTTGGATACCATTCTTCTTGACGTGGCAATTGTATTGCTTCACAAACAACCCCATATCCTCACTCTTTTCGTCATCTTCGTCATCACTCGTATTGCAATCACCCAGCTCTTTTTCGTGGTACTTTGAACAAGAAGCCTTTAGAGCTATGGACTTCGTTTCTGTATTTTTTGTTTTCTCCTTCTTTTCCTTTTTCTCATATTGCTCTAGACTAAGAAGCACTTGCTCGTGGTTTTGAAGCTTTCCAAAAAGTATTGTAAGGTCCAAAATCATAAGATCGTTTGCTTCCTTTATGGCAGTTACTTTTGGTTGACATTCCCTGGTAAGACATCTTAAAATTTTGTTAGTAGCAACATCATTGACAACTGGCCTACGAAGTGAATATAGTCTATTGATAAGATGAGAAAATCTCTTTTGCATGTCAGTAGTGGTTTCCCCTTGCTCCATGTGAAAGAGATCAAACTCTTGTGTTAAGGTATTGATTCTCGCTAGTTTAATATCATTGGTTCCCTCACGAGCAACTTGCAATGAGTCTCACATAGCCTTAGCAGTCAAACAATGGGAAACCCTATAGTATTCGTCAACTCCCAAGGAGGAAATCAGAATATTTTTGGCTTTTCAATCGTAATTATACTTCTTCTCGTCATCATCATTCCATTGTGCTTCAGGTTTAGGCACAATCATATTATTTTCATCGGTCATGGTTATTTTCATAGGTCTGTTCAAAATAACATTCCATATCTTTCTGTCAATGAAATTTCCCCTCTGAAACATTGAAATTTAAGAGGTTACTTTAAAAATATATATATAAAATAGTGTAACTAGTAGAGGGATATTAAAAAGATTACATAGAGCACATCAATTAAATGACATATTTTTGCTTATAAAAAGAAATTAAATGACATATTTTAGTATCAAACTTACAGGAATATTTTATGTATTATGAAAGTCTTCCAATATTTTTTCATTTAACTGAACTTTTAAATTTTGATAATCATCAGATAAGAAGTGTGTCTAAAGCGCAATTGGAGTTACTGGAAGAGGTTGTTCCTGATGTAAGTATTCTAATTTGTTTTGTTACATATAAATTACATACACAATCAAAATGAACATATGAATTAAATTCAATAATTGAGCAATTTCATTTTGGTAAAAAAACATGAAAAGCTATTTCTTTTTTTTTTTCTTCTTCTTTTTTAGCACCTTGAAACCAACTTGAACCATTTTTATGTATTACTTATTTGTGTACCACTTTATGTGCAGCATGCAGAGATGAATGCTAGACCTGTGCAACTCCTAAATGGAAGAGAAATACAACTATATGATTAAAACTAGGGAATTAATTGACCACATATTAATATTTTGTGGCAATATTATGATACAAGTTCTTATTTTCTTGTGCTACGTTTTTATCAAGTACTTCTTCCTTCCTAAGGTAACCTAAACAATGTTTTTTTAAGTTGTTTCTAAACTTACATTATGAATAATAAAAACATTTTATTATTGTAAGTTATATTATATTAATTTTAATACTTTTTGGATAAATTACTCAGATTTTTCAAAGACCACAACTAAAATCCCTCTAAACACTACTTATATATATATATATATATATATATATATATATATATATATATATATATATATATATATATATATATATATATATATATATATATATATATATATATATATATATATATATATATATATATATATATATATATATATATATATATATATATATATATATATATATATATATATATATATATATATATATATATATATATATATATATATATATATATATATATATATATATATATATATATATATATATATATATATATATATATATATATATATATATATATATATATATATATATATATATATATATATATATATATATATATATATATATATATTATAGGTGTTTTTCATTTTTTTTTATTGTAAATTTCATATAACCTCCTCTATTCATAAATATAATCATTGTGATATATGAGAAAGTGACACGCTTCAGATTTTCACACCTGGAATTTTATATTTATTTTGTTAAAAAATAGTGTATTTCTTTAATTTCTATTTGTAAATAAAAATTAAACACCTATCACCACAATCAATATAAAGAACCATAGTCAAATATAAATGACATTTCACCGCGTTTATTTTTGTCAATCGTGATAAAATATACTACCTATAAAAGCTAACTAATATTAATTCAGATCACAAATCGCGTTGAAAGAAAACCTTAATTTCTCTCGCCTTATCTCAATCTCTCAAAACTCAAATTTAACTTCTCCATCTATTATGAATTAAGGAAAAGTTTCATGAATCTTTGCAACACTAAAGTAGCTCATTTCTTTATCTTAGTTCTTCATGTATCTTTTCAATGAAAGGTATGCTCGTGAAACATTCGACGAGTTAATGTTATTGTTGTTCAAAATTTTTGTCTTGTTTTTCTTGTTCATAATATACGTGAAATATTGGTTTATTATTTTTTTGTTGTTAAGATGATATTGTAGTTTTTGTAGAGATTAGTAAATGATTTAAGTTATTGTTGAAGTATTTTGTAGTTATTATTATGTTGTGCTTTCGTTGATAAATGTTGTTGTTTGTGTTACTGTAGATATTCTTTATTAGGTGTGTTGATATTTTTGTGGAGGAATGTTGTTGTTTTATTAAGATTACTTATTGTTTATGTTGAAGTATGCTGATGTTTTTGTTGATAAATAGTGTTGTGTGTATTATTGTATATGTTTTTTTATTAGGTATGTTGATGTTTTTGTGGAGGTGTGTTATTTTATTAAGGTTACTTGTTGTTTGTTGTTAAGAACAAACTTCCTTGAGTTATAGGACAAGGTAACCTCCTGAATTCTATAATAACTAGTGAAATATTTTCTGCTTTATTTCTCATTCTACTGCTCTTTAAATAGCAGCTCAATTACAGAAAAGATAGATTCTCACAATCAATCCAACGGATATCCTAAATTGTAGGGATTGATAGTGGGTACTGCATAGATTTGCTACTAACGGTAATGACAGAAATTGGTAAGATATTTGGTGAGCTGTAATTCTTCTAGAATCCTAGGATAGTACAGCTGTTAAAACTAATTTATTCATAATTGCTGAGATATTTGGGCCTTGTCTTGATCTTGTAGGTCTTCCTCCTATGTTGGGCTGGGCTGCAATGTTGGAATCTTCTGCTTGTTCTACACTGCTGTTGTTGTTAGTAATATGGGTGTTAACATTACCGCTGCCTGGGAAAATCACCTTGTCCTCAAGGTGATAAGTATCAGAAATGTGGGACCAAGTTTCCCAGCTAGTGTCTTCCGGATTAAGACCTTGCCATTGGATCAGAACCATAGGAGTGGGGGGGTCTGTTGAGGTGTCCCTTTTTGAGTCCAGTATGGATAGAGGTGTTATGATGGGATGATTGTTGTGGGATGTAGGTGGTAAAGCAGGGGAAGAGGAAGTGATTGGACCATGATGAGGTTTGAGAAGAGAACAGTGGAATACAGGGTGTATTTTAGAGGATTCTGGCAGTGCTAGGCGATAGGCAACAGGTCCGATTTGTTCTGTAATTTTGAAAGGGCCATAGTATCATTGAGATAGCTTGGTGTATGAGGAAGTGTGAACGGATTTCTGACGGTAAGGGCGGAGTTTGACGTAGAACCAGGAGTCCACTTTGAAGGATACATCGCGCCGTTTAGTGTCTGCATAAAGTTTCATTCGTGTTTGGGCTTTGGCAAGGGTATTTTGTAGTTTGGTGATGAGTAATTGTCTGGATGTGAGGAGTGAATCTACTGCCTCGACGATAGAAGATCCTAATAGATAGTGACGAATGTTGGGGGGAGGTTTCCCAAAAGTGATCTCAAAAGGTGAGTATCCAGTGGATGAGTGAATGGAGGTGTTATATGACCATTCAGCAAGGGCGAGGTATGTATACCAATGGTTGGGCTGTTTGTGCATGAATGCTCTAAGGTATTGTTCCAGGACTCGGTTGAAAACTTCTGTCTGCCCATCGGTTTCGGGGTGGTATGCAGTACTCATTCGAAGTGTTGTACCATAGAGTTTGAAGAGTTCCCTCCAGAAGCGACTAATGAAAACAGGGTCGCGGTCTGAGACTAAACACTTAGGAAAACCATGATGTTTACACACGATATACATGAATAGAGTGGCAATTTTGAAAGCCGTGAAGTGAGTAGGTAGGGTGCCTAAGTGGACACCTTTTGAAAATCTATCCACCACGACAAGTATGACTGAGAAACCGTGTGAGTTGGGTAATCCGGTGATGAAATCTAAGGATAAGTCTTCCCAAATGGCAGAAGGAATGGTGAGTGGTTGAAGGAGACCGGCTGGTTTCTTGGTGATGTGTTTGATTTGTTGACAGGTGGAACAGTTGGTGACGAAGGTTTACACGCTGTTTTTAAGGCCTTCCCAGAAGAAATTGGATTTGAGGCGTGCAAGGGTTTTGGTGATGCCCATGTGTCCTCCTAAAGGAGTAGAATGCAACTCTTCTAATAGTTGTGTGCAGAAGGGACTGTCTCGGTCCAGCCAGATACGGTTTTTGTATAGGATAAGACCTTGGTGTATGGTGTGGTTTGGGTGGGATGATGGGTTGTTTCGTATCTCATGAAGTAGTTTGTGGAAGGTTGGACTAGTTTGAAGTGATTTGCGAAGATGGTCGAGAAAAAGGAAGTGGGGAATAGAGAAAGAGAGATGCGTACCTGGGCCTTCTGGAGCTCGTGATAGTGTGTCGGCGACTACGTTACTCTTTCCAGATTTATATTGGATTGAATAATCATAGCCGAGAAGTTTGGCGAGGTATTTGTGTTCTTCAGGAGTTTGAATAACTTGAGAAAGAAGTTCTTTGAGTCTCTTATGATCAGTAAAGATGGTGAATTGATGTCCCAATAGGTATTGTCTCCACTTTTTAACTGCGGCAGTAATGGCGTGAAGTTCCATAACATATGTGGAGGATCGTTGTAATTTATTACAGAAAGGCTGACTGAAGAAGGCAATGGGGTGTGAATTTTGCATGAGAACAACACCCATAGCACTTCCTGAAGCGTCGATCTCGATATCAAAAGGAATGGAAAATTTTGGTAAAGCTAGAGTGGGGGTTTGTGTCATGGCAAGTTTGAGGTTATCAAAAGATCTTTGGGCTTCTGGTGACCAGATGAAGGCGTCCTTGCGAAGTAAGGTTGTGAGAGGTGCGACTATAGAAGCGTAACCCTTGACAAATTTTCTGTAAAAACCAGTTAGACCAAGGAAACCTCGTAGGGATTTGATGGATTTGGGTTGAGGCCATTCAAGCATAGCTTGGATCTTCGAAGGTTCGGGTTGGACTCCATTCTCAGAGATGATGTGTCCAAGGTAAACAAGTTGACGCTGAGCAAAGGAGCATTTGGATTGCTTGAGGAAAAATTTGCCTTCGAGTAATTTAGCGAAGACTTGCTCTAGGTGTATGAGGTGAAGTTCGAGGGAAATTTTATAGACGAGTATATCATCGAAGAAAACTGCGACAAACTTGCGAAGGAAAGGTTGCAGAAGCTCATTCATAGCTGCTTGGAATGTGGATGGGGCGTTGCAAAGCCCAAAAGGCATTACGCGGTATTCGTAATGGCCTTGGTGTGTTCGAAAGGCAGTTTTGTCGATGTCTGATTCGTGCATTTTGATTTGGTGAAACCCTTGGCGTAAATCCAGTTTTGAGAACCATGAAGCACCACCAAGTTCATCAAGCAATTCGTCTATGGTGGGCATCGGAAAACGGTCACGGATAGTGATGGCGTTAAGGGCCCTGTAGTCCACACAGAAGCGCCATGTTCCGTCTTTTTTCTTAACAAGTAGAACAGGGGAGGAGAAGGGGCTGCGGATGGGTTGTATGAGTTGGTGATGGAGCATATCTTTGACCTGTTGTTCAATTTCATTTTTTTGGGAGAAAGGGTAGTGGTAAGGTTTAACGGAGACGGGTGAAGAAGAAGGACGTAAGGTAATACAGTGGTCTGTGTTTCGTGAAGGTGGTAAGGTAGGAGTATGGTTGAAGATGGGTGAGTGTTTCATGATTAGTTCGTTGATGGGTGTAATATGGTGGGTATTAGGCTCTGGGTCGGGTTGTAGGATTTGGATGTGGAAAAATTCAGAGGCTGAATTAGTTTGAACACATCGTTTGAGTTGGTGGGATGAGATGGATAGTGGGCCTGGATTGGCATCAACTTTCAAGAGGATGTTGGTGTTGTTGTAAGTAAATGAGAGGGTAAGGGAGGTGTAGTCCATAAGGACTAGGCCCAGAGATTTGAGCCATGGGGCCCCAAGGATAA